TGCAATTCATCCTAACACTCCTCACCTTCAGTACTTTGATAGTTAATTATCAGATGATTTTACTCATCAAGATGAGTGTTGGTTATTGAAAGGTTAATAATTAACCGCAAAAGCTGCTGTGTTGGCATATTTAGAAGCAATGTGCCCTACTTTTAGTCCTTTGTTATTTTATTAAATATTTGTTCCATTAATGTTCCAGACTCTCCACTTAACAAATAAAATTGTCTGTCATTAGACATATAGTAAAACATAATGATTTGGCATTTGACAGAGTAAAGTTGTTTTCCGTTAGACAGAGTAAAATAATAAATTTGGTGCAAAAATGCTTGATGGAAATTTGGCTGCAGAATATAGGGTATACATTTTCTGTCAGTATAATCATTTTGTCAAATCTGGCAAAATCTTGACATTTGATTTATTTCGTCCTGCAGATGATAGAAGTTGTAGAAGGATCTGTCATGTTCTGGAATTGCCACCAGTGGGCATATTGCTCTGCAAGATTTTCTAATGAAGGCCCTACACCAAGTCAGGTGATACAAAAAGTAAACATGAAAAGTGTAGAAGCCAGGCGTCCACAAAGAGTTTGAATAGTCTGTAGTCAAGCCCACAAGTTGAGAGGACTGAGGACATTATAGATACCGATACATTTATATAGATCAATAAGCACTTAGCAATTGACATTATTGCATGTTTGTATATATAGTTATACCATGGTAATTTAGTTAGACAAACTTTGCAAGTTCATTAAGAAATAGTAAATTAGTTAGCAATTTTGTAATTATTTGTTTATTTATTAACTATGTTATTTATTTGTGTATTGTGTTTTTGAAGTTTTTTGCATGTTAATAAAACTATGTATGCCACCAGTACAATTTTCTTGAGCTGTAGCAAGTATATTTGGAATGGTATGGCCACTTGTTTTCATCCCATACCAAACCCACACGTGTTAGCATCTAGCATTTGGATGTTAACATGGGTTTGGTATGGGATGAAAACAAGTGCCCATACCATTCCCAATATAATATGATAATTGTTGCACCCATATCATTCCCATAGTTTATACATCAAGAACCATATGAATTCCATATCATGTTCCCATATAGAATCCTATCTTACCCATAGCAAAGTTGTTATGAAATGATATAAGGAACCCATGTATTTCCCATAGTAAGTGATATGGGATATGTATGGATTTGTACCAAATACGTATCAAACCCGTATCAAAAACATGATATGGGTATGCTATGAAGGCAACCAGGCCACACCAAAGCCATATACTTCCCATATATGGCCCATAGGTTGAACCATATCAATCCCATAGTTTATACATCAAGAACCATATGAATTCCATATCACGTTCCCAGATCATTCCCATATAGAATCCTATCTTACCCATAGCAAAGTTGTTATGAAATGGTATAAGGAACCCATGTATTTCCCATAGTAAGTCATATGGGATATGTATGGATTTGTACCAAATACGTATCAAACCCATATCAAAAACATGATATGGGTATGCTATGAAGACAACCAGGCCACACCAAAGCCATATACTTCCCATATATGGCCCATAGGTTGAACCATATCAATCCCATAGTTGGTCCATATATGTCCCATATAATTTGGTTTTGTAAGGGGGTAAACAATGCCATTGATTTGACACTGCTTAAACTGCCACATTCACCCCTGTCGGCCTTAAACTGCCACAACCTAGCATTGACAGCTAATAAGAATAGAAACTGTTTTATGTGTATTATGTTATACAATTTTAAACGATACTGTAATATACCTGTCAACCATGGTGCTGCATTGCTAGTTTTCAGCTAATTTGATATTATTTCATTACTATTTTTTAACTGGTTTAATTATCATACTACCATTTTATTACTTTATAAAGTAACTATGTTGCAGTGCTACTATTTTTATATAGCTATTTTATTGTTATTTTATGACTATTTTACTATTCTTTTATTGCTATTTTATAACTATTTTATTACTACTTTCTGACTATTTTATTACTATTTTTATACTATTTTTTTACTATTTTGTTCGCTATTTTATCACTATTTTAAATTCTACTATTTTATTACTATTTTATCAGTATTTTATTCATATTTTAAAACTATTTTTGCAGTAATTCTATTACTATTTTTAGTTAATATACTGCAGTTGATCCACTATATTTTTAGTTAATATACTGCAGTTGATCCACTATGTATTTTCGACTATTTTTAACCTATTTTATGTATATTTAAAATCTATTTTATTACCAATGTTTCATTTTACTTTATTATTTTATTTCTATTTTGCACTCTATTTTAAATATATTTTATCCTATTTTAAACCTATTTTAATCTGTGCTTCACCGATTCAGAAAAATAAAATCTATTTAAAATAGGCTATTTTTTGTTTCAAAAAAACCTATTTATAATAGCTATAAAATACAATTAAAACAGAGTTCTAATAGGTTTAATATAGGATTTGTATATGTGATAGCAATATGATAGGGTTAAAAATAAAATAGCTTTTCTATAGGAATAAAATAGAAAGTAAAATAGGGATAAAATAGGGTTAAAATACTATTACACAAAGTCAAAAGTAATACTTTATTATAACAATAGAATTATTTATACGAAAGTGAGTGCAACTATATTTAAGATTATAAAATCTACTGTGCATCAAGCAGTTTATCCCATTGACCTTACAATATACAATAATGCAAGAAAGTAATGTGTCCCATTACAAAATAGGGTTTCCCAAAGCAGTTCTAAAATTCAGCTGATTATCAATGACCTATGCTGTTAATAATTACAGTAATTTGGCAGTTTGATTGCTTGAATTAAAAACAAAAGGTCTAGGACTCAACAGAAAGAAATATTTCTTAACATCAAATATTAAAGATAGTTTGAAGCATTCATACAATTGGAGGTTTTAGAAAGTTTGATTATCAACTACATTTACATAAAGCAATAGCAATTATATGTTATATTGCCTGCAAATATATTAAGTTGCAATTATTCTTCTCTAGCTTCTAACACATTTTAATCTTGATGTGATTCCATGGAACTATAAAATAATATATGATATGTTGTATGTATGTAATAAATATACAAATAGTAAGGAGTAACCTTTTACAAGGTTATTTGACAGCTACTGCATGTATATCATTTAATTTTAAAGAGATTTTCACTGCAAACAATATCACCAATTAAAAAACTCATTAATAATTCATGAAGAAAACACAAAGAAAAATCATAAGCGTGTCGTATCTGTATATGTGATACAGATTCATATTGATTTACATAAACTTTAACTTTGATTTTCTCGGCTTAGACAACGTTTATTTTTAAAATTACTTCGCCAATGAACTAATAAGATGAGTCGTTTTTTAAGTTGTTTACAACATTCGCGTCCGTGTTGTATCAGATATACAAACTCTTGCCTTCGGCTTGAGTTTGTATATCTGATACAACACAGCCGCTCATGTTGTAAACATTACATCTCAATCAAATAATCAATACTCAATATAGTAAACATACTGTATTTGTATACGTTTATAATATCAAAATATAAATGACTTAGCAAACAAGACGCTCTGCGGAGCGTTAACTCGCTGGGGCTATATAAGTCATACAAATACGCACATTACTAAGCGGAAAAGTTGAATACGAGCGCAAAAGGTTAACACAGTACTAAAATGCAAGTAGGCCCTACAAGTAAAGTTATATTTAGCAGACCTTCCAACTCTCACGCATTTTGCATGTGACACACGCATTTGACATATTTCTCACACTCACACGCATAAACACTCTTTTCTCACGCAAAAGAGAAAAAGTAGGAAGCGATCCAACTTTTGTTTTAATGCTTCTCTTCGCAAGAAAATATTCCTATGTAGCTGAATCAATAGCTATAAAATAAAGTATTTTTCGAGCAGTTGCGGTATAACGTATAGTGTTGCGTAAGTTGGACTATTGCACAAATTAGTAAATTGACACTTAGTTATTGAGGGATTCCCCCAGACAACGCTTTTTATGTAAAATATAAACTATAATCTTATTAATTTCGCGTGCTGAATTAGCATTATTTGCGCGTAGGCATGATAACGCATTTTGTGGTAAGCGCTCCTTCCCGCACCTCCCTTCCTTTACGTAGAAAATGAATAGTCATAGTTAAACGCCCACATTAGGTGGAGAGTATAAATGTAGAGAAAGTATCATAAAAATATCATAAATAAAATAGATTCTAACTGGATGCGTCATTAATGTGTTATTGAGAATCTTGCTATACAAAAAATAATGGCCGAAACTTCGAGTGATTGCGGCCGAAAGAAAGCAAAAGTTGATGGTTCTTTAGATGGTTCTTCCGCTTCTTTGCGTAAATTTGACCGTGCTGCGCGATTCAAGTAAAAATTTCAGCCATCCTGGTAAAAAAAGTGGCCTTGTATTATTGCTGTTCCTCGTTCACCAACTGAGTTCAGGTTTACGGTGTGCGACAAAGTTTGCAGCTGTGCTCATCAAGGGGAATCTGATGTGACAAGACATATTCAAGGTGAAAAGCACCAGAAAAATGTACGAGCTAGGACCAATGCAGCGCCGTTAAGTTCATTTGGGTTTATTTCTACCTTGGATCCACTGAAAGATAAGGTAATACATTAACATATTGTTGTAGTAATAGTGTATGTATATCAGTGTATGGTTGTTTAAAACAATTTGTTTTACTTCTAGTGAAATAATTAATTATAATAGTATTTTTCTAAAAGCTTATTCCATTTTTAGGTCACAACTGCAGAAATTAAAGTTGCTACACTCTTAGTTGAAAACAACATCCCTCTGGCATTTGCTGATAAGCTTAGTCCAATGTTTAAAGAGTTATTTCCTGACAGCAACATAGCTAAGAACTACCACAGTGCAAGAATGAAGACAACTTGCATATTGAATTGAGCAATAGCTCCACACGTAAAACAGACATTAGTTGAACAGCTGAAATCCGGAGTTTTTAGCATGTCAACAGATGGTTCTAATGACAAAGACCTCGACAAAATGAATCCAATCACGGTAAAACTTTTTGACATTAACGCGTCAAGAGCGGTTACCCGTTTCCTAGACATGGGAGTGACTCAGGGTGTGGATGCTGCTAAGGCTTCTACAATATTTGAAGCAATCGATGAAGTTAAGACCGACAACAGTATACCCTGGAAAAACTGCATAGCCTTCTCTGTTGATAATACCAGTGCAAACCTTGGTCAGTTTAATTCTATTAAGACACGGGTACTTGAACGTAATCCTGACTGTTATTTTTTTGGATGTCCATGCCACATTCTTCATAATACCGCCGGCAAGGCCTCTTCGCAACTGAAGGTTTGACATTGATGACTTGGCAGTGGATATTTTTTACTATTTTGACAAGTCAACCAAGCGAAAGGCTGCCCTTAGTGATTACACTCAATTTTGTGACTTAGTATATTGCAAGATGCTTAAGCATGTGACCACACGTTGGCTGAGTTTAAACACTTCTGTTAACCGCATATTAAGTGGCTATGAAGGTTTGAAGTCCTATTTCCTTTCAGAAGATGATGAAGATTCTAAAATCTCACTTTTTGCTAGGCTTCGAAAGCATTTTGAAAACCCGATGACTGAAATTTACTTGATGTTCTTTCAAGCTGTTATTCCGACCTTTACTACCGTCAACAAATTCTTGCAGAGAGGAGAGTCAGTTATTCATCTGCTTTTGGATCAACTTGAGTCGTTCCTTAAGAAATTGGCAGGTAAATTCATACGTATTGATGCCATTGCAGCTGCAAATAAAGTGTGTGAGATAGATTTTTCAGATGATGGAAATATAAAGGAAGAAGACAAGATGTTTGTGGGAATTACAACACGGGGAAAGATGATGAAGATGCTCAATGATGGAGATTTAGATCCTCAACAGGTAGAATTACAGTAATACTGCAGAATAATATATTGATAGTTCAGTTCAGGCAGATTATTATTAGTCATTTATAGAGCATATTATTCAGTGTTTCATTCAATCAGCCACCTTTAATTAATCATTCTTTTACATCTAGGTGCAAAGATTCTATGATGCAGTTGGTGCATTTTACAGAGCTGCTGCACAGTATGCTGTGGCAAAACTTCCATTTCATGACAAAGTTCTGGAGAATTCTCGTTTTGTTAATTTTGAGAAACGCAGAGAGCATGAATTCACAATGGTCGAGTTCTTTCTACAACGATTCCCAGATCATCTAGAAATGAGTGTTGAAGAGCAAGAAAAACTGCAAGAACAGTTCATAGACTATCAACTTTTGTCAAATGATAACATCCCCCAACATGTCTGGAATGATGCGACTGCGAAAACGGATGAAGATGGAACAGCTTGCCTATTTCGAATGGATGTCATTTGGGGGCATTTGAACGCAACCAAATCTGCTGATGGTACACCTCGATTTGATTTGTTAGCGCGAGTTGCTTTAACTGTACTGTGCCTTCCTCACTCAAATGCAGAAGAGCGAGTTTTTAGCATGATTGGAAAGAACAAACGGGCAGAACGTTCAAGCCTTCAGGTTAAAGGAACACTTTCATCAATAATGACAGTGAAGCTTGCAGATTTGAATGCTAAGACTTTCACGCCTCCAGTGTCCGTCTTAAAAGCAGCTAAATCTGTTACTTATGAATACAACAAAGCACATAAGCGCAAGCTATAACTCATTAACATTTAAATTTAGAATGACTTTTACTTTTTAAACAATATTAACGAAATAAAAAATAAATGAAACTTATAATTGCAATTGCAGATGTCCAAAAAGTGTTACTTTTGAGATTTTTAATGCCATTTTTGTACCTTTAGAATTCTGTTAATCTTCTCCCAAAATGCAGGAAATGGCATTTCAGAGACTCCAGATTTAAAATTTTCCAGGGGGGCATGCCCCTGAACCCCCCTAGGGAAACGCCTGCCTACGGCAGTCGCCAAGCCCGCCGACGGCGGGCTATATCAATAATATTACAGGAAAAAACTAAATCTCACTCATTTTCATGCCACAAAGTTGGAAGGTCTGATTGAGTATGCTACATAGCCACCACTAGTTGGTCCGTACGCTAGGCTGCTCACTGCGTTTTAAAACGTTCAAAATAAACTAATTTGGGGGCTTTTGGACTCAAAATACTGTCAAAATGAAGAGAGAAGTAAGACAGATCCACTGGTATTCGGCCGAAAAAGAGAAAACCAATGATACCAAAATTATCAACAATACAATTTCGCTTGGCTTTCAAAGACAAAGCCATAAATCGCTAGATTACTGTTGTTTAGTAATACATTTGACATCCGTATGAGCGATTTGTTAACAATACAATTTCGCTTGTCTTTCAAAGACAAAGACCATAAATCGCTAGAATACTATTGTTTAGTACAATTTCTTACCCTGAATCGAACGGTGATATTTTTATCATTATTGCGCCATGAGGCATTACAAATACAAGGACAAAGGTAGTGTGAGTGGCTTGTCAACATTTATACAATTTGACCAATTTCGCTTGATTTTCAAAGGCCATAAATCGCTAGAATACTGCTGTTTAGTAATACATTTGACATCCATGAGTACAATTTCTTACGCTGAATCAAACGTTGTCGCTTTCTTCTCAAAATATATTAAAGCAGCGCAGCCAAACGTATATAAACTTGCGATTTGTGAAGTTGCTGTTTTCGTGCGAAATTCCTTGTAAAATTGTTCAATTTTCCCAACTTTTTCTCAAAATGCAGGGTTATTTATGGATAATTTGGGTAAAATTGGCAGGAGTCTTATGGATATGGAAATTAGGCAGCTCATTAATATTCTATTTTGTGACTATTGACGATTGGATATCCACTATCTGAGATCCGTGACAAATGCATGCCGAAACCTATACTTGTCTGGGGCACAGAGTGCCCCAGCGAGTAATTATGTCTTCTACAGGGAAGTTTAGCTAGGAAACTAAACAAACAGATCCCTGGTGCTCTACATACTTTTACATCTTTGTGTTCCTTTTCTCTTTGCGGTTCTTCGGAATCAGCCGATGGATGAGAAAGGCGAAATCCAGCTACTGACTTTCTTTGTGACATAGTGTGAGCAGTGGGCTGTGAATTCTCTCCTCGTTCCTGAATCATGATTTGTATATATAAAATGACTACAAAACGATTTGATTTTTTAACGAATCAAACTGTAAGCCAAATGAATGTATTGAAAACATATAATCGACAGACTAACCTTATTTGTACAAGGTTTATTTCGAGTGCCACATCGACAACTTGAGCACACAACATTTCGACCCTTGCAAGGGCATCCTCGGTGTTCATGAAAGATCGATCAATTTTGCACAAAAATATATGTAAATTTATTCATGTTTTCTTACCGTATTCATACTACAGGAAGACATCTTGCATCGCTCCTTGACAACTTTCTGACGTTTTCTGAATAATTTCCGAATATATTAGGTATGCGCAGAAAAGATGCGCAGATGGTGACATAGCTCCTTTAATACAGATCGACAGAATATATCAAGGTCCTATAATCAAAATCATTTACATACCCGATACCTACATTTCCCACTAACTATAAGATAACCATAAGTATATTGCAGGATTGGCAGCATCTGTTATAGAGCTTTTATTGCCATTGATTTTCAACCACTCCAAACGTTGCCATAAACTGCCATTCAGGGCACTATACTGCTTGGTTTAAATTTAGCACTTTGCTTCGAAAACAAGTGAGAGCATTCGCAGCCTTGCTGATTGTGAAATTAGGCGATTGGGTCACACTTCTAAAGATCTAAACACTCTCAAATGCCTTTCAAAACCACAAGTACAGAAATATCAAATACCACCTCTGGAATGTTGTTGCCATTGTTTTACCGCTGATCTCCATATAATATGTGTACAGGCGTAAAATCAACGTCAGTTGATATCGATAGGAAGGTTGTGTTGCTTACTATGAACAAGTTATCAACAATGTAGTTGCAAGTTTTGTTGACAAATTGTTCATAGTGGGCAGCACACCTGTCAATATCAACCGGGAAACAAAGTTGTCGATTTCTCACTTTCATTTCTCACACATTTCAGTGACGCTGTGCTTTTTATTACAGATTCAGAAACCATCATCACATTTTAAATATTATCTTGATTTAAATATTATCTTGAGTCTATGACTTCATTTTTTAATATTATTTTATATTCAATATATGATATAGGATGTAGACATGGTAGGTAAGGACTGTCCAATTTGTCCGAAGTATAAATCTGTTATGGCAAATTTATATATTAGAATCATGTACTGTGTTTTATGCTTTCAGCATGTAGTATGTTGCTATTTGATAAAGCCATATTTATTTAAAGCCTGGTTCACATAAAATTGTCAAGCAGTCGCAGACATGTGCCGAATTTTGATATGAACACAAACACAGATTCGTGCAGACTGTCTGAGAATGATCGGCGACAGATCGGGAAAGTTGAACTTGGTTCAACTTTCCCGATCGACGCAGACTGTCGCCGGCCATCTACGATCAGATCACCACAAGTTTATGTGAACACGATCGGCGACTGTCTGCGACGAAATTATATCCCACAATGCAGTGCAACTAGTAAATGAGATGGAGGACGAAAGCACACAGAACAGAGATGAAATTCTCATGTCAAAAGTGCTGGAATTTAGATGTATATATGATAAAAAGCTGAAGGACTTATAAAGACCAAAGAAAGAAGTCGAACATGTGGTTGGAGATAAGTCAGATTATGGGAATGCCGGTAGATAACTGCATAAAACGATACAACAATATTCTAACACAGTTTGCAAAATATTTGAAATCTATAAAACCTGCTAGTGGTTCAGGGAGGGACAGTGCAGTTTTAAAACCAGAATATGAGTATCTACGGTGGCTGAGTTGCCATATCAAGCACCGCTATCAGCAACTTCTCCAACGAAAGCCTACATTCAACTGGTCCTGTCAAAGTAAATATTACCAAAGATAATTCCCAAAGTGATAGGAGCATTTCTGTTTCACCAATTCCATCATTATCTCAATCAATTTCAGGTAGGAAGTAAATTGATAAAATCAATAATTTATAGTAGAAATCTATATACGAACCAATGACATTCAAATATGCTTTCATTATTGTTAATAACAGCAATACTAATACTATCTATTGGTCATTGATTGTCAAATACTTAGCATTGAATATCAGTTATATAATTGGTGTAAATTTGATTTCTCGTTTCTCTTTCCAAATTGATTTTCATTGATTGTACATCACAGGGGCAGAGTATAGATCTGTTATTTTTTTATTTCATATTTGCCAGAAAAATGCATTGTTGTGAAAGTGGTACCAGAGTATTTTAACCAAGTGCAGACATCATGTTCCTGAGGGTCAGCTAATCACCTGCCTCTTGCATTCTTTCCTGCAAACATGGCTAATATGATTTCCCATAAAATACTTTAATGAATTCTTATACCAAACAACTAATTTTTGTTTATATTAATGTTACAGATGAGTTTCGTGAAGAAAATATAGAAATCAGTGGAATACCAAAGCAGGCAGACTGAAAACCTCTATGTCAGACAGCACCTCACCAGCAGGGATGGATTAAAGATTTTTTCAGAAAAAACGTCTTTATTCTTTAATTCATTTAAAGAAGATTAAAGAAGATTTTGTAAAACTTGACTTTCATAATGTGAATTGTTTTCAATATAACCACTATTTACAATAAAATATTTGAACCCCTGTAACCCCCAGTTTTAACTCTGTAAGTCTGTAAGTATAAAATCTTAATTTAATATATTAAAAGTTAATTTAACTTACTGTTGATGACTCCATGCAATGGAAATGTTGATAAAATATTGCATAATTCATTTCCTCAAGCTGACCAATTCGTTTGATATTTTGATTGAAAATTGCTCAACTTCCTGTAAAAAATGCTCAACTTCCTGTAAAAAATGCTCAACTTCCTGTGATGAACCAATGAGATTTCGTTTCACAACCAACAAACAATCGGAAATGCACAAGAAGTAAACATAATTTTGAATTTGCAATGAATTGATGCCATATTTTATCAACACTTTCATTACATTGACAGCAAACAGTACAAGTATCTCTGAATTAGGACATCCTAATTTGTACATCAGTCTCTTCAAACAACAGGAAGATGTAAATCAGTTCTCACTCATTGTCACTGCCACTAATGTCAGAATCATAACCTTCACTGGTTACATTGGTCATTTGGGTCATGTTAGTCTTGATGTATACCAGCTTCCTTACCTTTTCTTGATCAAGGCGATTCCTCAACTTTGAATGTACGAATGCACAAGTTGAAAAGTTCCGCTCTGATGCAGCTGAAGATGGCAGCCAAAGAAAACACACTTATCTTCGTTGACATTTGGAAGATTTTTCATCTGCTTTTCCAAATCCAGGAAGGCTTGGTAGACATCAGAACAAGGGACTGAGTCACTTTGGAAAATCTTGATATATTTCTCGATTGGTGCCAGAATCTTGATGCTTTCATCAAGTTTGCTGACAAAATCAGGATCAGTTAGGATTTCAACACGCTTCTCCTTTTGCTTTGTAGTTCCTTTGTTTACAAAGTCCCTCTCGGACACCAGAGCATTCAAGATGCTGTCAGCAGCTTTCAGTGATTTGAAGCAACCAATTAGAGTGCCCCATCGTGTTTCCGCTGGCTTAACAAGAGCACTTAACTTTGCTGCAGCAAGAGCCTTCTTTAATTTGGCTTTCATGACATGGTGATTGTGAAAAAATGTGACAACTTCCTTACAATCATTGGAGAACAGCTGTAACTCTTCAAATGGGTAACCATCTAGGAATTGAGGTGCTCCACCACAAGTTGCTTCCTTTTTCTTGGCACCAAATACATGTTTAACCAAAAGATGGAGACCATGCGAAACACAGCCATGAAAAAAATTTGCAGGAATTTCTCTTCCAAAATGCCCCACATCTTTTTGTTTGCTGCAGTGTTATCTGTGATAGCACCTACAACATTCTCACCAATGCCATCAATAACATGGCTGATGCCTTGAACAAGCCACTCTGCATCATGACCTTGCTCCTCAGTACATCAGAGAAAAGTTCTTTGAAGCTGTCATCCCAGAAACCTATGTTGCTGTTGATGAGCAATTAGTCCCATTCAAAGGCGCCAGTTGTCTGAAGCGTTATCTCCCAAAGAAACCAAAAAAGTGGGGCTATAAGCTATGGGCCATTGCTGGTGTTTCTGGGTATGTCTATACTTTTGAAGTGGATGGAGAGAAAGGGAAAACTGGTCCTCCAGATGGGTGGGATGCACCAGAAAAGTGTGGCGAAAGTGGATTTGTTGTCTTGCGCTTGACTGAGAAGCTTGAAGAAGATAAGCACAAACTTTTCTTTGACAACTTCTTTTCAAGCCCAGGACTAATGGAATATTTAGCTAGGAAAGGTTTTTGGGCTTTGGCAACATTGAATGCCAATAGGTCCAGGAAATGTCCTTTACCTAGTGAAAGCGATTTGACGAAGAGTGGCAGAGGTTCTTCAGCACAAAATGTAAATAAAGAAAGATTGGTTATCGTAACATCATGGTACGACAGCAGAAGAGTCCTGATGATATCCAATTTTATTGGAAAAGAACCAGTTGGAGAATGTACCCGGTACATCCGCAAGGAGAAGGCCACTGCAAGTGTTGAACGACCTGCTTCAGTTGAGTTGTATAACAACTACATGGGTGGTGTTGACAAGTCCGACATGATGTTGGCCCTGTATCGCACAAAATATAGGTCTCGAAAGTGGTATCAGCGAATTGCATTGCACCTGATAAGCCAATGTGCAGTGAATGCGTGGATCATATACAAGGAGATGGGAGGATTAAAAAGCTACTTGGATTTCCTCACTGAAATTTGTGTCACCCTCATGGTCGGAAAGCCACAGAGCGACGACTCGGACAAAGATCAGCCTGAACCACTGCCACCCACCAAAGAAGAGAATGAAGGCATCAAATATCCCAGAAGCTACAAGATATGATAAATATGACCATTGGCCAATTCTCCTAGACATGCCCAATGCACAGAGATGCAAAATGGATGGTTGCAAGAAAAAAACAATGTTTATGTGCAGCAAGTGCAATGTGTACTTATGTGTCACTAAGAGCACTTGTTTCTTAAATTTTCATGGAAAGTAAATTATATGGGTTGTAGGTTGGTAGTTAGTGTACTTGATACAGCAAAAAGTTTTACTCTGTAATTAAATTCTTTTATATATTTGTTCAATGGTTTTTGACAATTTCTTTCCTAATATGCACGTTGTCCAGTATACTGGACAAAATCCCCCCTCCCTGGATAGCTGTTTTTTAAAAAAAAAAAAAATTTACTAATCGAAAACTAGTTGCTAATGTAGCATTTTCACCAATTTTCATTAAATTTAATGCATAGGAAGTGCCTCGTGCATTAAAGGGTTAACTGATGCCAGAGAAAGTGACTTACTTGGACACACAGCCATGTAGTTGACAACAGATTCATTGGCAATATTTGACCAAGCATCACTGGTAATGGAGATGAATTGGTTAGGTTTGGAGAGTAAACTGTCCACTTTATCTTTAACCTCTTCATAACATTCTTGAAGAAGACCACCAGGACTATCATTGGCCAGTTGCTTACTTGTTGGCAATTTTGCTTGTGGGCAGGCTAGCTGAATGGCAGAGAGCAAGTAGGGGTCTTCAATTCTGTAAAAACTTGTTCCAGTGTTATAAAAGAACAGTGCCATCTCATGGTTGTATTTCTTCTGTTGCGAGGCATTAAAAACTGGAATGGCAACTGATCTAACAGATGGTTGTGCACTAGTACTTGCAAAAGATGTTGAAGATGATTTACTTGATCCACTTCCTTTTCTTCTTGTTCGTCATCTCATTCCACCACTGCGGGCGATCAGCAACCTGCTTATTCATCATCAGCTTTTTTAATGGTTTGCATCTCTTCAGGTGAGTTTTAACTGAGAGCAGTTTATGGTGATGCCTCACTGAATCCTTGCAATTTTTGCAAATTGCATTGTTTGGCTTGTTTTTTGAAAACACATTGGGGTCGTCAAAAGCATCTCTCCAAGCTGTATGAACTGGAGGGCCTCGCTTTGTCTGACTTTCAACAATTTCCTCCACATCCGACTCCAGATTTTCTTCATTAACCTCCACTTCTCTATCAGGGTCTTCAGATTGCATTATCATATCCAATCCATCTTCCATAATATACGAATAACTGGAATTTACAATCAAATATTGGGCTATAATTACAATGGATGTAGACATTTATATGCTTGTGTTTTTACATGATCCTGAAAGTACTAGTAATTAATGATTTCAGGACTCAGGTACACAAATTAGTTTCTACTAAAACAACTAAGTTTGTAATTGTATAGATATTTTTTTATCAATCTAGAATATTCTAGGTTTTTGTGACAATCCTAAAAGGTAGGAAACAAGTATTTTAATAAAACCATTTAACCCTCAGTGGCATAGCCAGAGGTGGAGCCTGCCCTCACCCCCTGGCAAAAGTGCTACCCCCCTGAGAAAAACTTTATTTAAACTGCCCCCCTCCTAGGTTTTTTCTGCCCCCCCCGACCAAAAATCCTGTCCCTAATAATGGCTACTATAAATGATACTATATTTATAATTTATTTATTTCTTACTATGAACATTAATAACTTGTTTAAAAACATTTATTCAAATTTCAAAATAAACTGACTGTATTCACTTGCTTTTATTTCGGTCTTTTAATTATATTTCATTATTTATTATTAAAATAGGTCGACGGCTCGACCGCCTCGACGAGATTCGCTGAAGATTCGTCGAATAAAAATTATAAAATAATATGTAAATTTTACCTCTTTAGAATAATTTCAATGAGTATTTGACACTGTATCCACTTGCTTTTATTCCAATTTCAATCCTTTGTTATTAAGTCAATATAATATGTAAATTTTACAAGGAATTTCAATGAGTGTTTGTTTGATACTTTGATTTGTGCAAATCCAACCATTTCGCTACCTCGTGGCGCAAAGTAAAGAGCCTGGAAACGAGGAAACAAATGCCACACACACACAACATGAAGTATTGACGAAATAATCAACATAAAAATGATAAAATAATTAAAGAAGATTTTTCTTCAAAACCAAAATCTTCTTTAATTATTTAAAGAAGATTAAAGAAGATTGAATTAAAGAAGATTGCCAACCCTGCAGTCACCAGACATGCCTCCAACAACATCAAGTAAGGAATAACTGTCAAAAATCTTACTTATATTTAGTTGTTATGAATTATATGCAATATAGAGTAGGGTTCTCTTGTTATATGCAATTTTCAACTAAATAACTTACTGTTATTTTTTCAGAGCAATCAAGTTTAAAGGAAACCTACCATGGGCGAGCAAGCAGCAAGACGGAACAAAGACCATGGGCTAAAAAACGATAATTTCAATCAACTTACAATGTTTCCTCAAATGATCGCTCACCTTTGAATAATCCCCCTTTCTTCTGAGTTACATTCTTTCATGATGAAAATTTAGAAATAATAGCCTCCCTTTAAATAATTGACCGTTTTTGTCCTGGGGGAAAATCACCAATGGGTATTCTCTATTTGGTATTGGTATTCTCTATTTTTTTGTTGTATAAACTAATGTTCAAATTAACCATTTTTGCAGAAATGTGATGTAAGTGAGACTGACAAAGCCATTATGGAAACTGTGGCAGAACTGAGGGCCACAAAACCTGTAGAAGCTAAAATGGAAGACGAAGATTCTTTGTTCTGTGCTAGCATAGCTATGAAAATGCGGAGGTTTTCACCCTATCAAAAAGGGAGGTGCACAATTGCGCATTCTTCAAGTGCTCAACAATGTGGAGTGGTCTGTGAGACCACCGCCTACTGTTAACCAGCCATACACCCATTATTATACCCAGAATATTCTAACAGACACATTACTGACAGATCGCGCGTGCAACACGCGCGCAAGATATCATCCAAGCGTGGGCAGACCCAGGCATTAACATGCCTGAGTAACTAGTTATTTAACCAAAAATATATAAAACAAACTCACAAGGGCATCTTCTGACACAAGGTTATTTTGGACTTTATTTCAAAGTCAGTGTCAATCCTATAATAACAAAAAACATGCTTCATATTGGTTTATGTTATATATTTTACAGTTGTTGGTTTGTATTATTAATTAATACTATTTTGAGTAACTTTATACTTGGCAGTTTTGTTTGTTTCTTTTACCACAACTTCTTACATGGTCAAGCTGCCATGAAAGTGGACCATCTTCACTATTTACATAAGTTGTCTCTCGTTGCAAAAGTTGTCTCTCGTTGTTTTTGCATCAATGCTGTAGTTGGGCGATTCAATTCTGGATATGTTTTGAAAACCAGAGTTTGCACCTCCTCTAACTATATTGCGCCATTCTCCTTCCTTCATATCCAATGAACTATCACAGTCCACAAAACCAGTAGGAATGTATTGTGCATTCTCTGTCATGCACAGGTAGTTGTGAAGGCATAGGGTGGCCTTCACAATTGCATCTACAGTGCTGATAGATGCTCGGATAGGGTGGCGGAATATTCGCCACCTTGCTGCATAGATGCCAAAGGCATTCTCTATGGTTCGTCGACATCTGGATAGCCTGTAATTAAATACATTTTGGGATTCTGATAACCCTTTCCCGGGATAGGGCTTCATCAACCGTGTTTTAAATGGAAATATTTCATCACCAACTAGGGTATAAGGCAGAACCTTATTATTCACTAATGATGGTTGTGGGATAAACATTTTTCCACTTTCAATCGCTTTAAATATATCTGTTTGGGAAAATATGCTGCATCATTATCTCTTCCATAGTCACCGAAACTTACAGAGGTGAATCGATACTTCGCATCACAAATTGCCATCAGCGCACTGTGCTGTGGAAATTTTTATAGTTATAGAAGAGATCCTCCATTTTTTGGGCATTCAATGGAGATATGTTTCCCATCAACTGCACCAACAACATGTGGAAAGTTCCACTCAGCCATGAATTCCTTGGCTATTGCCATCTATTCTTCTTCACTTGATGGTGTCTTAAGGTAAGTAGGGCTAAGTGCTGTCCAAATTGCATCACAAGTGTCTTTTATTATCATGGAAGCTGTACTACGTCCCACACGGAAGTTGAAAGATTGTGACTGCTGTGAGTCACCAGTTGCCAGGTATCGTAGTGTCACTGCCAGCCTTTCCCCTTGAAGACCAGTCACATTCTTTTCATGGATTTTGAGATGGGGATCAAGATTTGGCTTCAAGAAAAAGATAGGCAATTTATCTGGGGCCGGTTGTATCAAGCCCGTTTAGCTTAAATGGTGGATAAGTCAAAATTAAATAACACTCTTATGTCTTTCGTGAATCAGTCAACTTAAATATTCTGCACTGAATGTATAGTTGTAAACATTATCGTTCTATTAAGGTTCAAAACTTTTAGTTTGGTTGTTTAATGAATCTATAGACTTGCTTTCTATTTTGAGCTTAACCACCGTTTAAGCTAAACGGGCTTGATACAACCGGCCCCTGAAGGGTAGCGTTAGAAGTATTCATTTCAACAAACTCAACTGCTTGTAATTCTTTTTGACAGAAGGCTAGTATGGTAAAGCAAGCATGAATATGACTTATATGAGAATAAGTATGTAGCTTGGTTGTAAACCAACAATACCTGTATGTGACCAAATCTTATGAAAACAATTAAACCAGATCATTTATAAAAGCTGGTTTAACCCATTAAGCGAATTGAAAGAACTTCCAAAAAGAGATACTTCCTTAATAGAGATACTAACAATGGTACAAAGAGTATAGTTTTTGTATTGAAAACTGTGTGTTTGGTCACATATGACTGTACCAAATACTTTCTGACAGTGTTTATGATAGTTCATGCAGAAACCCGGTTTTAAATAATATGGTAACACATTTTGACAATGTATATTCTACATCCTAGGTATTATGAAATCCTAACCCTTCTGTGGGCGATATTCAACAATGTGGCGACACACTAAGGAGGGCCAGGAGAGCCATGACGTGTATAAGTCATTATTTCAGGGTGTTGGGAAAGTTGCCCAACAAAAGCACTGGACATTGTTCGAGTCAACAGATTTCCACCGCTGCAAACTTCCTGAAAACTGGAATTACCTGCTAAACCAACATGGTGATGGGGTCAGGATGATGTTCCCAGTGAAGATGAGAACCTTTCTCGGTCGATCACCCAAGTATTACGAAAAGGAAGGCAAACAGATGGTGGAAATACCTCGACAATATGTTGAGAAAATTTCCCTAATTTTTGTTGCATGCCCATGTATGGGCATGCAACTTTCATATAGCTCTAAATTTCGTGTTGTGTACGACGTACGTTGTGCGTTGTACCGGCGGTGGTAAATCACATGACAGATTCGTAAAATACAAAGAAAATATTGATTTTTCGTCGAAAATTTACGTAATTTAGCGCCTTAGAAAAATAGATCGAGGTAAGTAAAGCTTTGCTGTTTTTAATTTACCTTATATTCTGTTATTTTGTTATTTTGGTGCCATTGTGATCGCACTGATATTTATCAATTATCAGGCGTTTTAATATTATATATCGTGTGAAAGGCTACGCCGTAACCTTTCACACGATATATAAACCGCTACGCTATCAAAATATGCTCAAATTGAAACGAAGCCATTGTGCTAGCACTGATTAAATTGTGTGCAAAACGTCAAAACTACATCACATTCTGTAAATAACATGAAATATATTTAAAAGTCAAACAAAATTCTCACACTGTTGTCTATTGAAATTTAATACAACTAAACGAAATAGCCGTTCTACTTTGATAATTTCAATCATGGTCGAGATCATAGTATAATTATTTTCAATCTATTATAGTAGTTCACTGTTTCCACGGGTTTTTATACTTTCAATAAGCTACAATAAAGCTAAATTTGTTTTACATTTGTAGGAGTATTACTGTATTAATAAGTAATGTTTACTTCAAATAGTCAATCAGTGATAAAACCTTGACTCTGACCTTGAGCAGTTGACCTTGTTATTACCGTCCCTTGCAACTGCAGATGAACAGTCGCTCATGATGCATTACCTATTAGTATAAGAATCTTACGTTTTCTTATTTTGACATAATAGCTATTTTTCAATATATATTGATATTAAACTTATTGAATCAATATGTTAAGTTTCAGGCCAGTTGGACCAAAATTTATAAGCGCTTGCGCACCACAAAGCATGGGGGGGGGGTGGTCGGGCAATATTCGCAGAATAGTTGGGCAATTTTGGTTAATTAAAAAAATAAATGGTACAAATTCTGTAAATTTTGTGCACAATTTGGCGAAGTTTCGAAAATTTTTGTAGGTTCCGGAAAATTTTTGTATGTCTGGAAAAAATTTTTGACCCCTAAAATGATTCACTGACCGAAATTTTTTTTGCGACGGGGGGAGGGAGGGGGGGTTATGTCGCCAAAATAAATTACGGAAAAAATTTTTTCGTTACTTATCGGGCAAAATCCGGAAAAGTCGGGCAAATTTCTTGCTGCCCCCCTAAATTTTTCCTTCCGGTATGCCCATGCCACAAAGGCGGATATTGATTTCCATTCAGTACAATATGTCGTGCGATCGACATTTTGCGATCACTTTCTTTTGAAATACAAGCAATCAAACGCAACGGATCAGGTTGACTGAACACATTTCGAAAGAAAGTGGTCGCGAAAAGTTGATCTCGCGATATTTTGCACTGAATGGAAATCAGCCTGAACGTTTCTAAGGCATGCAACATGTACGCACTGCGTACCTATTTTTATTAAAGTGCCAACATTGCTCTTGATTAATTAAACCAGTTAACTCCTTCTGAATAGACCTTAGCGATTATTCTTGTTTACCCAATGGCCTCGTTTTTGTGTTGGGTATTTACTCGCATTTTGTGCACAGAACGGTTAAACATATACGCTTATGATTGAGTTGAAGCTCAACAACAAACAAATTTGTGCAGAAAAGGTGGGACATGACCTTTACCTGCACTTGCCAAACTAAAAGAAGCAAACATGGAAATAGGCCATTGGGTAAACAAGAATAATCGGTAAGGTCTATTGGGATAAGACTTGCTTCAATTCATTACATCTGGGCATAAGCTGCTGTAATAATTTGCATTTTCTTTTCATTCAGAATTCATTATACTGTAAATAGTCTTAGTTGGATGTTATAAAATGAAGTAAGTTTTATTCCAACTCAAATTAAAATGTTCATTCTCATGTGCAGTAGATATGATGGACTGGCTTTATTGAAAATAGTATATAAATATTATGCACAGTATTGTCATACAGATTAAATATATTCTGATTCATATTCACAGATAAATTTACAGTATTTACAAAACAAAGTAGTTGGTGTTGTTATTTCTATAATTTGAAGGCATTTTCAAGCCATCAATAATTACCAAACCACTGACCTGTATTTAGCTAGAGTCCTAGGCTATGTTTACATTGTATCGGATCGGTTTTTGCTTCGTTCACGAAACGTTACGGCCCAAGTGTAAACAGCTTCCGCCCTCGCCCAACTAAATACAAAAATATTATAAGTGAGCAAGCTATACCCGCAAATAAGATTAGAATAGCAAG